TTTCCTTTCCTCTCTTCCTCTCTCTCTCTCTCTCTCTCTCTCTCTCTCTCGATCCAGAGAAGAAGGGGATTTCGGTTTCCACGGTGTCGAAACGAAAAGTCTTTCGATCTCGTTTCGATACACGGCGCGAAACACGGTCCGCCGCGATATTAGCGAGCCGGGGGAGCCTGTTATTCTCCGCCTACCCCGAGGCTGACACAGGGCATTAGGTAAGTGGTAGATAATAATAGGTTACACCCCACAGTGATGGTCGAAGGTAGTCGGTCGATCGAGCGACGCGGCTATCGCGCGCGCACAACGTCGCGTAAAAACGAAAAATCTTCCCTTTTTCCTCTTTCGCGCTCTCTCTCTCTCTCACACACACACACGCACACCTTGGAAATTCGAATTCCTGCGCCGAGGTGGAAAGCGAGGTGAAAAACGAGGGGGAAAAGGAGAATAAGAGGAAGAAGAAAGAAGAAGAGAGGGGGGGGAGAGAGGGCGAACGGATCTTGGCGAAATACCGGGTGTAAGAAGATTCGAGGAGGAGAGAAGGAGCGTAGCTTCGTTCGTTCGGAGGGGAGAGGGGAGGGAGAGGAGAAATAGGGAGAGAAGGAGCGAGTGTAACAGTGAAGAAATTAATAGCCATAAAATATGAATAGAAATTAGCAGGTTCGGGGTGGCGTGACGCGTTTGCTCGCTCATTTCCTTTCGGCGCGTTGAAAAACAACAAAACAACGCAAAATACGGTCGAGCCTGTAATTTACCCGGCTGCCGCCGAGCGGTCCGACGCGCGATCGAGCCGGTTCTCCGTGTGAGTCACACGGCTCACGATCCAGAAGGGTCGTCGAGCGGTAAGCGCGCGCGGTATCCTACGTTACGTATGCCGAGTTACAACGCCACCGCACCAAAGCGGCCAAAGCTTTTCCATCGCTTTTCCCCTACATCCGCGATCGACGAATCACGAAAGGACTGGGGGAATCACGAAATTCCTTCTTTTCGTATTTTTCTTATCGTCGAGAGACGGAGAGAAAGAGAGAGAGAGAGAGAGAGAGAGAGTATTTTTCTTTTTTTTTTTCCTTTTTTAATATATCCGGAGGAGTAGTTTCACGGGTTAACCATCTGCGCCAGTTTGGTAATGGGCCGTGGAGTTAAGGAAAGGAGGACTTTCGTTCGTGTATGGGAGTTCGAAGTTGTCGAGAGTCGTTGAGCGAGGGTTGTTGGTGCCGATGGACGCGAGAAACCAAAGGAACCGAGCAGAAACCTCTTCTCCTTCGAGATCTTCCTCTCGCTCGAGGACGCTTCGAGAGAGGGAGAGAGAGAGAGAGAAAAGGAAAGCGGAGAGTTGCCAGAGGAAAAAGAGGAGGAAGAAGAAGGCCGGAGCGGCAGCGGTAATGACAGGCCGTCCGCTCTCGAAGCTAATATAGATGAATGCCCTGCCCTCCTTGCCCTCCGGAACCGAGCGCTCCGGCCAACTTTGGAATCGCTCTCTTTCTCCTCTTCTCCCTTTTGCTTTTCTTTTCCCCCTCTTTTTCTCTCTCTCTCTCTCTCTTCGTTTTCGCCTTATCGACGAACGCGACATACGCTTCTCCCCTTTCCTCCTTCCATCGAACGAAGAAAACGGAAAACGAAAATCTCCACGAATCAAATTCGACGCCCAATAACGACTTTTAAACTTTTAAACTTGATTCTTAAATTTTCCCGATTCTATATATCTATATATATATATATATATATATCGTAATATCTTTATTTCTTCGTTAGAAGGAAGGATATTTCGTTACGTTCGTTACGACGATGGTGGCGACGACTGCGGCGGCGTCGAGAGGAGCGAATTGGAAAAGGGGGGGAGGGATGAGCGAAAGATAGAGGACGGGCGAGGGTGAGCGGGGGTGAGCGAGAGAGGGGGCGAAAGGGCCGAAGGGGCATCTATCTATCAGCGGCGGCGTGAAGTGGCGGGAGCATGCGCCGTATTGCCCCGTACGGCCGCTCTCTCATTAACTCTGGACGCCGCCAGAGCCGCATCCGTGCAGCCGAACACGACTGCCGTAACCGCCGTATCCACCGATCCTTCTTCTCCCCCTTTTTCTTCTCCTTCCTCCCCGCCAACCCACCTCCTCCTCCTCCTTCCCTCTTTCTTTTTCCTTCTCCGCGAGCGTGTAGCGTGTAACTGGACCGCGAGAGCCGATCGAATGACGGGGCAAAATTTTTCGCGATCTCCGCTAGGTTAGCCAGGTGCTGATTTGAGGAGGGGAGGGATGCTCGTGTAGCGATTTTCAAACTGCCGTGTCATTAAAGCGTGCTCGATCTTCCCCTACTTTCGGGTTTGACGAAAACTTTGTCCGTCGCGAGGGAATCGAATCTTCTTCCACGGTCTTCTTCTTTTTCTTCTTCTTCTTCTTCTTCTTCTTCACGGTTTACGAAAAATTTCGAGAAACGCGGTTCGAAACACGCCCTACCATTCTCGGAAGCGCATCCAACGCATTAGCGGAGAGAAGGACTTTTCGGTCGAGAGTTGTTCTTCTTCGGACACGCCTCCGATTCGCGCGTGATTACGTGCTCGTCGGTCCCGAGCGGAACCGGAGAAAGAAACTCCGTGTATCCACTATATATATATATATATATATATACACATCTTTCTTCAACTTCCTTTTCTTTTCTTATTTTTTTTTTTATTCGCGCAAACTAATTTTACAAAATTACGAAATAACGACTTTTCCGATCCGGAATCGGGCATTTTACACCGTTTCGAGATCTTTGAATTATCGCGTATCCATTATCTCGTAACGGGGTTAAACGAAGAAAAAAAGAAAAAAAATTATATAATCGAGCGCGTTTGACACGCGAAGGTAAAAGAAGAAGAAGAAGAAGAAGAAGAAGAAGGAGAAGAAGGCAGCAGGTGTTGTTGGCAGACGGCACGGTGCGACTTTATCGATTCCCACCTAAGTGGTAGTAAGTACGTAAGCAAGCAAGCAAGTTACGCTTACGCGCGTAACGTATTCGCGCGAAACTTGAAGCGAAACGAGGCGAATAATCGAAACGAAGGACGGATCGATGATTCGTGAGCGAATTCGAAAGCGTGCGCGATGAATAGGGGGAGGGGGCGAGGGGGATTGCGATTAATCGAGATGATGGTTCGTTCACCAACGAACGTAACGTCCGATAACGCGGAGACGGCGTTACCATCTGCCAAGATTAATGGTAAACGCGAGTTATCGCAACTTTTTTACTTTGTCGCTTTGTATATAGACGGCGATAATCCTTTGACACGATGGAGAGAAAAAAAAAATAAAAAATAAAAAAAAAAGGAAAAAAAAGAAAAAATTCTTTTCTGTCACGCGTAAACGCTCGGAAAGGAGAGAGCGAGGTGGCAGGTGCGTCATCATTCGCGTAGATAGATGATCGCGGATAACTCGGAATCGAGCGTCCACGCGTGCAATGCTTATTCACGAGATCAAACGCGCCTCTCTTTCTTTCTCTCTCTCTCTCTCCTTCTTTTCAACGTTTAGCGTCGCACGTATAAATTCCACTTTTAACGAGAGAGAGAGAGAGAGAGAGAGATCTAAGAGATCGGTCGATAATTCGGCCGGCACGATGATTAAGGTGGCGACGTTATAATGGCGCGTAATGATCGCTTCGCTCGCCACCTCGGTGCACGAAATACGCGGCGAAACCAATCGATCCACCGGCGCTGGATCGCCCGTACGGGATTACGTAAGTAGTACCTAGTAGCGAGTTTCTTCTCTATCGCGTAATATACGGGGATATATAAAGTACGATATACCTACCGATCGAAATCCGTCAGCCTGGACGAGTCTCGAAAACCTTTGGCGAACGGGTTGCTGTCGATCTTCAACTTGGTTATCTGGAACGGTACGATCGGTAAATAGCGCTTCGTCTATTTTTCTCTCGGTCTCGTGTTCTCGCCCGATTCGAGCGCGCATGCGCGCGTGCGCGTGCACTCACCAATTGATTCTGGTAGGCAGTCACCGCGGTGAAAATCGCCTCGGGGAACACGAACGTCTTGTGCTCCTCCTTCTGAAGCTCGGTTATGCGAAGATTGTTGTCGTCCGTTTGTCGACACCGTACCAAATGTATCCTCGGTTGATATCTGTGCATCGAGTTGAGAACGATCTGAAAGAAGAAAAGAAAAATTCCATCTCTCTTCACGATCGATAAGACGAGAGACGCTGGATCGAAATATAATAATAATTCGCAACAGGTTAGGACCAAGTCCCTATCCGTTTTAGAGAAAATTTAACGTGGTAAGCGCGATTCGGAATCGCGAGACGAGTCCACCACGTATCGATTTCCCGTCCCGAACGAAACAAGTTTCTCGCGTAGTGGTGGATATATCTGCGAAACGCTCTAGATGTATATCGCGCGACTCTCGTTCCAATTTTCCACTTACGTGGACGCGTAATACGCGATCGTCTTATATACCTTTCGCGTCTCGTTTCGATCGATAAACTCTCTCGTATTTTTGCTTCTTCGTCCCAACCGAGCGGGGACGCGTCGTTAACGTCGCGATTCTTATTAGCGAGGAGAGAATAACCGTGAAAAATATATCTGGTATCGCGTATTTATCTACGGCTGGTATCTCGCGCTCGGAGAAAGGAAGAAACTCCTCCTCCTCCTCCTCCATCGACGAATTAAGCAAACGCGATCTACGTTTCCTCGGACAACTTCATTATCCTGAATCGCGTGCGATTTATAATATCGTTTTTTTTTTTTCACGATATACCGTTGAAAAAAAGACCGTTGGTCGAGAACGTGGGGCCTCGATCCTTCCTTTCAACGGTTCCTTCTCTCTTTCATCGCGAAAAAAGTGGAAACTCGATACTTCGGCGGTTTCGAGCGGTGTTTTTTTTTTTTTTTTTTACGCGCAACAACACTCGGTATATATGAATTTTTCACGTTTCACGCGTGCAAGGACGAAATGTCAAATAGGAGGGAGGAGGGAAACGTCTCGTCGACGTCTGCGCGATTCGGTTCCGTCCTTCGAGGAGGTTTGCTCGATTGTTCTCGAGCAGGGGGAGAGGGGAAGGGGAAAAAATGAAAAGGTCTCGAATTTAATTCGAGTCCGGATAACGAGTCCGGATGCGAGCCGTAGGTTTCCAAGCGGGGCAACTTTATGCCTGTATACGATTATAGGTGTCTGGGATCCCGGGGTGCCCCTATCCGTTTTCTCCGCGCCGTTGGATAGTGGGACACCCCACTGCAACCTGTCAGAACTCCAATTTGCTCTACTCAGTTCCCCCGAGTTCGGGCTCGTGGATCCGCCACCGAACCTGCTTATACGGATCTTATTCTTTAAAAACCATATCTATTTCCGTGAACCATTTCTCCACCGATCCGTTGTCGCTTTATTATTATTCGTCGCTAATCGACACTGGACTTACTTTTTTTTTTTCCTTTCTTTCTTCGTTCCATTCGATCGAACCTCCCGCGTCGTTTCGATCCCGCTTCTCCTATTACTGCTAGTCGCGGGTTGAGAAACACGATCGAAAAATTCGTTCGTTTGTTTATTCGTCTCGTTCGATCGATCCCGTTTCGATTTTTCGAAGGGTGCGTTTGTACATTTTTCTCTCTCTCGAGAAGGAAAAAGCGTCAAAAGGGGAGGAGGGGACGAAGAATTCGATCGAGTCGAAGAAAAGATCCTTCGAGAGAAGAAAAGGAAGAGGGAAGGCGTTGGGGGGGGAGAGAGAGAGAGAGAGAGAGAAGCAAAACGGAGAGATCGTGGACGAGCGTAAAAACTCGATCTCTCGTGGTGTGTCGCGGTCGTCCCAAAAAGCGTCGTCGTCCCAACGTTCGAAACGGTTGGAAACTGTCGGTGTACCGTTTCGTTGGTAATTTAGAAGGAAAGGAGAGAAACGTACGTGTTTGGGGAAGAGTCGGGGAGGGGGGAGGCGCGGGTCCCGCAGGTATCGGTTGGACGCGGGAGCTGCGGTGGTCGCAGGTGGATGCTTGCTTTTGGACCACCGTGTAGTAGCCAACACGCAGGCGGGGGTCTTATAATATCGCGTCATACGAAACGATGAAATAGTGGCCGTAGCGAAGGAATGTTCCCTACCACTTGAGTCGTCGAGTTGAGTTGACTGGCGTTGCGTGGCTCTCCCAGCTCTCCCGCTCGCCACGACTGCTTTTAACCGGTGTGTCTGTTCCTCGACACTCGCCAGCCTAGCCTTTTTTCCTCCTCTCTCTCTCTCTCCTCTTTCTTCCTTCCTTCCTTTCTTTCCTTCCTTCTTCCTTTATCTCGCGCTTCTATCCTTCCTTCGCACTTCCTCTCTCTTCACCGTGTTTTACGCGCCATATACCTTTCTCGGTAATATGTATGTATGTATGTATGTATGTATGTATGATGTATATATGTATGTATGTATGTATGTATGTATGTATGTATGTATGTATGTATGTATGTATGTATGTATGTATGTATGTATGTATGTATGTATGTATGTATGTATGTATGTATGTATGTGTGTATATATATATATATATATGCTTAAAAACGCATCTCGAGAGAGTTGGTAAGCAAGCGAGTAAGCGAGTAAGTAGAGTAGCAGTTCAAAGGGGGAACTACGTGGCGTAATAGCTTCCGAATAATTCGAATGCGAAAGATGGGCGGTGAAAAGTTGTCGGTGGAAGAAGAGAAAAGAGAGAGAGAGAGAGAGAGAGAGAGAGAGAGAAGAAA